CTGTAATATTTCTGACGCTCGCTGGTATGACGTTGAACAACCGTGGACCTCTGATGTTCATACAGTGTTCCCCGATTGTGTCCATGGCACCTCTGCTCTTCACTGGTTCTAATCTGCATTTTCTTCCATGTCATTCACTCCAGTATGTTGGTTGCAGGTTGGATGCCTCAGGCTGCACACACTGCATCTCTCCTATCCGCTGCAGCGTGATTGATAGTGGCCATATTTCTGAATCAGCGCAGGGGTTCTGGGACGTATGGACTGTCGGTATATTCCCCAATTTCTAATATTGAATGTTTCTGGCACATGTATCATGACAGTCACCAGAACCTGACGTGTCGCTGCTTTGTCATCTTGTGTGTGGCATCGTTCTGCATTCAGGATTTGCTTGTGTTCGTGTACAGGATTCAGGGGAAAGTCAATTGGGTATCCCAAAAGCACGACTCTTGTGCGTCTTTCTGAAGGGTCCAGCTTTTCCAAGTATACAGGTTTCCCTTGCAGGACTTACATTTTCTAAGCAATTTACAGTCTGTTAGTCTTGTGGTGTCATTATTACGTCTCCTTTCAGGTTGACTGATGGAAAGTTTGAGCTCTGGTTGTTTCTTTTCCATATGCTGTAGGAAAGTGGTTTGCCTGCATAATCTTGAATTTTGGAAGATGTGCAGAGTCTGACGATGTCTAATGTTTGACTGGTCGTGTCCTCTCCTGTCCCATACTGTTGTCCTGTGGCTGGGCTGTGGAGAAAGGTACATTTTCTGACATTGGCTGGTGTGTGACTGGTGCTGTCCTCTCTAGGTCCTTTATGTCTGCTGTCTTGCTGGTAGAAGCATGTGGTGAAGCCTCGATAGCAGTTTTCTTCGGTGCCTGCTGCACCTTGGTCCACGGTCCCTTCTCATCTGAGAGCTGCCTCCATTGCCCCGTCTTTGACTTCCCCATGACGTTTACACGTAGTGAGGACCGAATCACTGCCCTACCTAATGCCTGAGACACTCCTAGGCCTGGAGAAATTCATTCCCCTCCAACGGAGGTCGTAGAATGATTCCCCCGGGTGGAATCAGGGATATCTAACACCAAGATAAGCTGTTTGGTCTACCTTTCCCTGAAAAAGCTCGGTACACCTTCTAAGGTGCCCCCTGTGGCGATGCCTGCAGGGTATCGCCTTGCCCTTCAGGGTAGGACTAAGTGACCTGGTCAGTGATACGGTCCTAATAATAAAAAAAAAAAAAAAAAAAAAAAAAAAAAAAAAAAAAAAAAAAAAAAAAAAAAAAAAAAAAAAAAAAAAGTCATGGGGTACGAGAGTGCAGTACGAGCGTTTGGGTCGCCTACGTACTGGGCTGTGCAGAATACCAGTCAGCTGGACAGCAGGTAATCATCAATATTGTTTGTCCATCAATTGTAGATGAAATCAAAATGGTTTCCTTGCAAACAAGATATTGTCTGGTTCTTTGAGTATCTATGTATTCTTCCTCATAAAACCACGATTTGATCTGATGGGTGCTCAGAATCTTAAGTTTTCCCAGGAACAAATCCGTGTGCGGCCAGCTAGCAATGGCACCGGCAGCGAGAGTCCTAAATTCACTGAAGGAGCCAGCCAGTGGGACATACTTGTAGGCTTTTCACAGCAACCTATTTCTCCAAATGACTGCAAAGAAGCCAAATTGGATAACCCCATAATGAAGAACATTGCCTCAGGATTCCTGGGGGCAGCTTCTGGGAAGGACAAAGCATGCTTCCTATGTGCAAGTCCCTCATACTGGGTACTTTGTCGACTATCCCCAAATCTGCCTTTGGCACTCGCCTAGACCATCAGGCCCCAAGTATTTGTGTTGCCCTGCATCTTGCCGCCCCCGTCTCCACCAAACACTGATGTATCTGCAGCTATGCATAAGAAGATCGATACAGAAACCATGGTCTCATCTGTCATAAGTCAGAGAGAAAGATTACCAGACAATGCAGTCAGTGACATTATCAGGAGTAGTTTGACTACAGTAAAGTTTTGAGCACAAAGGGAACCTCGAATATATCGAACAAATGCATCAGTTACAAATGCATAGATGTAGTTACCTTACAACCATGGATGGATGGTAAACAATCTGTGGGACTACACGTGTGCATGTTCAGTAGCTTATACTTATCTACCGCACAGTACAGCTAAGGGTACTGGGGCTGCCACCTTCAGTGTGACCCAGAAAACTAGTAAGTACAGGGATCTAGAACATTGTTACTGGTTCATACCAATGGGGTGCGAGACCCTGGGCACCTGGAATAAATGTGCACTTAAGTTCTTGAAGGAGGTGTGCGAGGAACTCATTAGGCAAACTAGAGAATCAAGAGCAACTAGTTTTCTGTTCCAGCACCTCGGGTGTTAGGACCCAGAGAAGAAATGCTTGCTGTATCATGGTAATGTTACTAGGTGAGCAAATCCACAAGGGCCGTGATGAGGGTTCGAACCTACGTTCAAAAGGATCCCAGATGTGCCTTAATCGACTGTGCCACAACATTGTTGACCATATTGTGGCACAGTTGATTAAGGCGCATCTGGGATTCTCTCTGACGTAGGTTCGAACCCTCATCACGGCCTTTGTGGATTTGTTCATTTGATGTATCACGCTATTGTGATTTCTGTGTTACCAGAGGAATGCAGCTATTGTCATGAATGTTACTAGAGGGATGCGGTCATTGTAGGAAATTCCATCATAATTACACACGTGTACCAATGAGGTTCATATTGTTCCACAACTAATGGTTGCAATGAGACATACCAGGTAAACCAATCATCAATTGAACCATTATCATGCATTACGTGTACCAAGAGCCTCCCGTCATCTGTGGGTGCCACAGTGAAACAAAGGCATAAACCACCAATCTATACTCTCGCCTATATGGTGCCAATTAGGCCACGTGTCATTGCTCGGAGCCTAACACTGAATATTACATTTATATCCTTTTGACTACTCTATTTGATTGTAATGAAGTATATCAGGTAAACCAATCATCAATTGAAATAATATCATGTGTTACATGATTATCAAGTTATTCAACACAAATACTCTTGTAAAGGGAAAAGTGATAATCAGTGAAACATCCAAGGATAACGTAGGAAGAGTCGGCAAAGGCTGCTGTGTGTCAACACAGTCACTGTTGACAGACAGCAGCTAGCCACCACCCAACCTTTCAGAGTGCCTTCACCCAGTGAAGCAATACATATTCACTTATTAATTTGTATACAAAATGTCAGACACACAAATAATTGGATCATGAAAAATTCTAATTTTTTTTTGCATATAGGCAGGAATGACTATTTTGTTATATTAAAAGGAAGCACATGGGTTGCCCAATTTGCTTCTACTTGCCATCAGGTAACTGCTCTTAATACTATTAAGCTAACATAGCCAATGTAAGCAAAATAAACGTGGACCCGTAGCAAACTAAGTTAAATGATATGTGAACTCATTAGACACCCAACCCACAAATCTGAAAATGAAGAATTGATGATTTGGTCCATCCTGGATTATCATCATGTCATGTAGTGCACATTAAACTACTTTATAATGGTCCAGGTAGGACTGAAATGTTGTCAATTCTTCTTTATCAGATTTGTGGGTTCGGTATCAAATCAGCCATATTTGTGATTCATCATCTGCTCTTTACTTCATATTTTTGCAAATATCCATTTATTTTCATCTTTTAGAACTGCCAGAAGTATCCCAACACTTTGTGTATTTAATAATTTTTTATTTTATGTTCAGATAAACAAAAACTTTTCCCATACTGTATCGTTTACTTATTTGTGGAAATGCATTCATAGGCACTCCACATTATAATATTTAAATTATCAAAGAATTTATACATTAATGATAGGAATAAGATACATTCCAGGGTCCAAAATTGTTTTTACATAAATTTTAATGCATTGTATATAATATACAATGTTTTAAAATTGTTAGGGTTATTAGCAAAATGTAATACAGAATTAAAAGTTTTTTTAATTTAAAGATTTAACTACTCGCAGTAGTGCTTTTAAAATACTGGATGTGATATACACTGTTACAGTGCCACCTACCACCAGTCATCTGTTACTTTATGTTTCTCATGCTAAGTGTAGTCTTCACCAATGCATCAACTCATCCCATCATCTATTCTATTAGACATAACATTAAGATATAAATCAAAGAACTACTAAAGCAGGCGAGTCGGTGACTCCTGTCATTTTATAGCATTCCCACACTAAGTCACATCATAGAAAAATACAACCATTTAAGAGCAGAGGAGCAAATCAAGGCTAATAGGTGGCCACTTAATCCATCAATGGTTCAGCTAATCAAAAGTTCTACATTTTGACCAGACCACACACTAGAAGGTGAAGGGACGACGACGTTTCGGTCCGTCCTGGACCATTCTCAAGTCTATTGTGACTCAAGAATGGTGACAATGTGACAATCGACTTGAGAATGGTCCAGGACGGACCGAAACGTCGTCGTCCCTTCACCTTCTAGCGTGTAGTCTGGTCAATATACTTTAGCCACGTTATTGTGACTCATCGCCTGCAAAAGTTCTACATCCTGGTGTACACAACAAATTTTTTCCATTAAACTTTAAAAAAAAAAAAATCATTTGGCAATTCAAGCACAAGAGGTTAGTGCAGATAGTGACTGGAGCTTTAAGAGTTCAACAACATGAAGGTAAATCACTTTTAGTCTATTTTTTGTGGGTTACATGTTGGTTTGGTCATCAATATTAGAAAGTGATCACTTTTCTAAGTCTCAGCATGCATCTTGGCTACTGTAAGGGTTATTCCATATCACTAAAGGAAAAACGCCTTTTTTTTTTCTTCCGAAGGTACGTTTCTTTATACTGTACTGATTCAAACATTTCAAATAGGATGTAGTTTCAGCCTAATTTACTAGTATCTGACAGAGGACCAGCCCCCTTAGCCTAAGGCCCAAATAGAGAGTTGTGACCAGCTTAATGAAGAAGCTTCCTCGCTTTGATACTTTCAGGAATATACATGCGACTCACTATGCCAATTCCGTGTTACGGGGGGTATCCATACCCCTCACTTCGGGGTAAGGACATCAATAGTTACAGAGTGCACCTCCTCCCAGCATTTTTGACAAGCATGCTGTGATTGACCCAAATTATTAATGACTGATTTCTAAATTTACATTCACGTGTAAAAAATTGTTTAAGCTTTAGTGCAAAATTTATTTATTTATATAAAGAATAGCAAAATTTAATTCTTTCAAATTCAATATTATCATCTTTTACTAGATATTCATAACCTCCATTCTTTCCCATTTTGTTGGCTTGATAAATTAAGCCTTAGGTAAAGAAATCAAAATATAGATTAGATGCTCTCTTTATGCTTAAATTTTATAGTATGGTAGCTATGGGCCATTTACAAAATATTATACAGTAGTTTTATTATTTTTCAAACTTTTTTTTTTTTTTTTTTAGTTTGTGATTAAACTTTTGTTACCTACCAGGGTTGTATAATATGACCTAGTATTGTATTTTTTGCTACTAGTGTAATCCATATATCAGTGGAAATGGCTTGGTATTGTATCTATTTTCAGCATGGTTATAACTGTTTCAATCTTTCTTACAATGTTTCTTGGACTGACAAACATGTTAAGAAATCTTAACGTCTTCCTGTATGTATTGTCAATAATTGAACTGCGTACTTTCCTGCCGAGCTCAGCCACAGAAGTATTATACAAGAGAATTAGCTAGAGAAAGTTGGTTGATAAAAACCACAGTGTTTACAATTCTAAAACTTTAACATTAGGCACAGAACAATGTAGTAAATGTGCTGTATTTTTTTTAAGCTTTATGCCCCTTTACATATACTGAATTAATATCAAATTGCATCACTGGCAGCAGATATATATACTTTCATTACATGATATCTGTATCGTGTATAAATCTGTACATATAAATCTATACAGATTTTGAACGTCTAAATGCCTTTCCTGTGGGGAAAATGACACTGTGCTAAATAATGAAGGAAGTTCAGTCATTGAGCTATGTACAGCTCATTACAGTACAGTAACATTGAGCTCAGTGGTTATACAAATAACCTAGGCAAGGGAAGTTGGCTTTTCTATGGGCCGCTGTATTAACTAAATTATGTTTGGTGCTACTTCTGTTGTGTGCCGTTCATTAATATTTACATTTTGTATTAAAAAGCGTGTATAACTTTGTTGTTAACAAGAGCGAGAAGCTAGAAAAGTTTTCCCCCACGTTCATTTGCATGTTAATGGATGGCAGCTTGATCGGCATAGACATTGAATTAGCTTAATGTAGAAGATTTTCTACTTGTAATACTTCAGTGGGAGTCCAGTAACAGCTGGGATATCTAGATCAGTAGTTCTTAATGTGTATTCTGTGCCCTGAATTTTCTGAAAAAGATTTCCTTTTGCTTAGTAAACACCACTTCCCAACCCAAGTAGGATGAAGTTATACATGTCTGACCAAATTTAGAGAGATTTTAGAATATTTTTTTCCTAGTGTAGTTTACAAGCTCAACCATTTTTTATTAGATTAGCTGTCAAAGCGGTAATGTGCACTTGTATTTTCTGTATACTGTCTACACTATCTCCGTTTGTCATGTCTTGGACCAATGATGATGATTATTCTACCCGTTCTGTAGACGAGTTTGTGCATGTTTACAATGTGACATTGTTTCAGTTTTATGATTTGAGGCAGCAGTATTTATTCTTTATTTTTAAATAAAGTTGTGGAGTTTTATATTCAGCAGTACAGTATTTAGAATATGTAGACATTAGTTTGATAAAAGTACTCTTGTAATACTTTCTAGAGAGTTGGGCATTTTGTTATTTTATGATCGGTGTAAATTGTATAAACTTACTGCTGTAGGAAGACAAATTGTTGCTTTGAAAGTGCTTTATTCCCGTTTGTTGCAACTCTTAGTCATGAATGACATGTCATTTATATAAAGATTAAGACATTGAATAATATAAAATACCAAACACAAAATGAACGACTCTTTACATGTGTGGATTGGGTTCTTTGAGTCACGGTACAGTATTTTGCCTTATTACTTCTGATCAATTTATTCAATGCTAGGAATAAGTAACTGGCAATTGTATAAATATGTCATCTTTTTAAACAATGTTAATAATCATATGAATTGGTCTTATTATTTCTCATGCGATATAAATGCATGTTATGATCTTTATAGAATTTCTAGTGACAAGATTAAAAATATGAAAAATATAAAATACATTAATATTTTTAGCTAAATTTAAAATTTATATTTGAGTACACCAATGAATAGCAAACGAAGATGGCACATTGGATGATGTGCAAGGCACACAGCCAGACAGGTTAAGCACTGTAGACTTTTGCCAGTAACTGAATGGGTGAATAGTTAAACAGCTTAGCCTGAGCCTGGCCTCAGGCTGGGCTCGGGAAGTAGAACAACTCCCAGAACCCTCACCAGGTATGCTTCACACTTGGTTAGGGAGTCCTGGATTGACCTAACAGGCTTCCTGTCCTCGAAAATGACACCGGCATGTCTTCCTTCAGATAAGTATTTAAGTCTAATTACAACTATTGTGCAGCTAAAATTCTCTTTACCTATATTTTTATTTATTTGGCTTGTGTTTCTGTAGTTGATTGCCCTCTATCCGTTATACATGTAGAGTTTTTTCCCCCCCACTTTTTACAGGAATCCTAATTCTTAACGATTTCTAGGCGATTGTTGTTTATTCAGTGACTTTTTCCCTTTATATCCTTCTCATTTCAGTTATAATCTATTTCTTCACATATTCAACTGTACTGTATTTTGATTTTTCTAACGATGCCTATATTTCAGAATTGGATAGCAGTGGGGAAAAGCCGTCAGGAATAATTCGTCTAAGTGCGATCCGGGAAATTATGGACCGGGGTAAACATGCAGTCCTAGACATTACGCCAAATGCTGTAGATCGACTCAATTATGCCCAGTTTTATCCAGTTGTTATTTTCTTGAGGGCAGAATCAAAACAGATTGTGAAAGAACTTCGTAGTGGGTTTCCAAAGTAAGTTTGCTGTTCATAGCTATTTACAGAGTTGTGTTACAACCCTCAGTGTGTGGAGCTCTAATCAAAATTGTCACCTTGCCTGTGTACACTTTTTATATATAATTTTTGTATTATTTAATGATACATTTGCATGCAAATATGAAAAAAATCAATATTTGCCTCTTCTGGTTATGTGGGGGGGTACAATGAGTGCATCAATAATGTACAATGTACATCAATGAGGGGTACAATGTACTGCCCTGGGTGGAGGGGTCAATGCATCAACAACATCAACACTAGATACGCAGTTTACTGTCTTGTGGTATAGGGGTGAGGACTTGACTGATCAAGTTAGACAAATTTTATATTTGTACCTTCTTTTAGTTTACATAACTGAATAACTCAAATGTGTTGAGTAACATTTATGCACACTTCAATTACTCAATTATTGTCAATTGTGTGTGATATGTAAGCCTATATAACAGACCTGTTCCTTGCACCACTTAAAGTCAGTGTCTTAGAATAGCAGCAAAGGAGTGAATTCTGTCTTGAAACTTCATCCAGAAACAGATTCAATGTCAGTGGGAAAGACCAAATTGTCATTTGATGACAATCACAGGCCACTAATACACGATAACCTTATTACATAGTAAGCAGTTAAAAACGACAGCAGAATTTGTCCATGGATCTCGGTAAACTGCATTACCTCCATACACATGTATTATAACCCTATTTATATTAGTATAAAGTTTGGCATTAATAATTAAAATCAGCAAATGTTGTTGATAATATTGGCCTAGGACAGGGGTGAGGAAACCTTTTCAAGTGCGAGATTAAATTGGCAATAATTTTCTAAAAAGTTCTCTTTAGTGCCAATTTCTTAAAAGAACTTTGTTTAGGTGACCAATAACTGTGTACTCATGACAAAGTAGGTACACCATGACGGTAGAGAGACAGTAATTTCAAAGCATTATATGACAGTGCTGGGAAGACGGAACACCACGAGTATCTCGTCCTGTAACTACACTTGGGTAATTACTCTTAGGTAATTACACGTATTATGTACAGCATGCATGCCATTAGTTTCCCACGCCCAACCCAGGAGATCAACACGTGCTACCAGTTTGGCCTAAGAGATCAATACGGGATAATCAAATAGGCCTACAACAAGGGTGTGTGGCAACCAGCCGCTCTTTATGGTACTCGGTGCAAGCTACTAAAGCCATTTAAAGTGAAGGAAACTTTGTTTTTATATATATATTTGAATGCATTCAGTACATAATACAATGTACCTTATGAAATCTTCGCTAAATAAAATACAGCCATTGTATGACAATGTTCCCCACTTCTGGTTTAGATCAACATATTACAATAATCATGATTTAAGGTTAAATAGTCATATGGTTTCTGTACTCGTTTTGTACACTGTGAATCAAGCATAAATGAACTTTACCTGTACTGTATGTCTATTCTAACATGTACAGTGAGCCATAGTATTTTCAACACTACTAGAGCACATCAGCAACTTTCATTATGCTTTGTAAACATGTTGTTGAGGCAGGTTTCTTCTGTTTATTAGGCATTACTATTGGTGATAACTTACGAATTTATGACTCGCAAATAATTAATTGCTTGCATTTTGAATTTGTTTGGCTCCCGTGGGATATTTAAATATTTGCGATGCCATGTGGTGGTGCTAGAAAGTTCCCTGTAATTGTGACACATAATTCGTTGTTGCAAAAGTATGGTTATATTACAAATGATACCCAAGGAAGTTTTGCAAGAGCTAATTTCCATAACACACAGCTAGGAACCCCCCCACCCCCCCAGTGGACATACTGTGGGATCAGAGGAAAAAAAAAAAAAAAAAAAAAAAAAAAAAAAAAAAAAAAAAAAAAAAAAAAAAAAATAGATCCCACAAGGCACTAGAAACGGTAAACATTTGTATATTGAATTCTTGTCGTTTTGCCCACCTTTACCCACTCAGCCACTGGGACAGGATTAAACTTTGGAACCCAATGACCATCCTAAAGAATTTCGGAGAATGAGAATTCTGGAAAGAGAAAAAATACTATGGAACCAATGCAACCAAACCGGCAGCCAAAGTATACCGTATTGATGGAACATGCCCATGTCTTTGAAACTTAAGTGCCCATCTGTAATCAGTAAGGAAAACACTTGAAGGGGGGGGGGGGGTAAATCAAGGTACACACCCATGGGTACAAAGTGGTATTCCTTCCTCCAATCCTTTTCACATCCACTAGAATGGAAGGACTCTTGAATAAATCCAGAACATGAAAATAGGAGGAGAGAGAAATAGAAAGGAAATAAGAGGGAGCTGAAAGGTCTTGACCAATGCCGCCACCTCCAAACAGAGCCTACTGAGGGAGAGCACGCAATGAAAGGGGCTGGACTTAGAAATTAGTGGTGCCTGCACTGGCTGCAGGGGAAAATTAACAACCAGCAAGAAAGTCCAGCCCCAAATGAGTTGAACCATGAACAGTTGCAGGAAGAAAGAATACCCCAGTATAGTTGCAAATCACACCCAAGTGTGCCGACACACCAGAGTGAGACTAGAACTGCCCAGGTTTAGTCATGACCTTCCTACACGAGGAACAATGTGGAACCTCGATTAATGAATTTAACCTGTTCCGGCACCGAACTCGTCATGTGAAACGCTCGTCTTTCGAAACATTTCCCCATTTAAAATAATGGAAATAAAATTAATCCGTTCTACTGCCCAAAAACATCAATGCGATATTTGATTTCCTAAATAATGGAGCAGCCTACGTGACATTCACTGAACAAACCTTTTTGACATTTGTTCTTTCAATTTTTTTTTTCCAATTTTGTCTAAAAAACAAAAATCAATGCTCTGTAACATTACAGCAGTCACCCCTTTATGTCCCAGCATCATTAGCATCTTTAAAAAAAAAAAAAGAAGAAAAAAAAAGTTATTTGCATTGTCAGGTGCACCTGAGAATTTGCAAGAACCAGCGGGAACGCTAGGAAGCACTGTGCTTTTTTCGTTAATCAAGTGAAAGCTCGTCAACCAAGACAAATTTTTGCCGAGTGGCGCGCTCGTTATTCGAAATGCTCGGAGATTGAAGGCGCTCGTCACTCAAGGTTCCACTGTACAGGGGAGGCCAACAGGGAACAAATCCTTCTTGCCACTCAGCAAATAATCCAGGATATAAAAAGAAAATACAAATTTATAGTTGCAAATGTGATGAGTGTTCGCATATCCACACTGAAGGAAAACACACCAGGGTGAAATAAGCTGACAACAATCCACCCAAGCAAGAAAAAACAAACACTGGAACCATGTGTGAAGCAGACGGTGAAGAACACAAGACCAAAGGTAGAGAACCGGGATCAAAAGGTAGCGATTTATTAATCTGTCGGTCCTGGATTTGAATTTTACCCCTCAGGGTAAACAAAATGTTAATGTACAGGACCTGAGTGCAATAGATTTAGTTCAATATGAACATGGGAATGGTGGGCTGAATTGAGCACCAAAAGCAGGGTAACCCAAGTGTAATGTGTATGAAGGTGTATGCCAAACACCAAAAGCAAGCAAACCTAGGATGAACTATTTCAAAGTTGCACAAAATACACTCAAAATCCTGGCTTTAATAAGACTTCCCATTCAAGTTTGCTCTCATTTTGTGCATATTTTTTTTTATAGTCTGTCATTTTAATTTTTTAATAGCCCCCCCTGTTATTAATGGTATGTTTACAGGGGCAGGATGAGCAGTAAAAAACTGTTTGATCAAAGTGTTAAACTGGAGAAGTTGTGGTCACACATCTTCACTGCCACAATCAGTCTCACACAGCCTGAAGCGTGGTTCCGTAAAGTTCGAGAGATTGTTGACAAACAGCAGACGTGTCCCATCTGGATGTCAGAAACAAAGGTATGCATATTTGTGACTGATTTTTTTTCTGGTCACTGTATTTGATAGAGGCTCTCTCTCTGATCTAATAATTTCTTTGATTCTTTACCACGTGTCCATGCTTTTAGTGCAGTCTGGGTCACTAATTTTATTAAGATAATTGCAATTTTTAAAATATTACTCATTTTAACAAAGCCTCAAAATATTACTACTGCAGATCAGATTTGGGGCTTTGGCATTTTATTTTATTAAGTTCATATTAACAATTAATAATTGTTAAGGCTAGCAAAACTAATGTATTATAACAAGAGAATATTAATTTGATTATATATATGAAAGTATCCAAAATAAACATTTTGGGTAGGTAATGCTATAATACATTTACCGAGGATTAACTGTACATGTTAAAAATCTTATTATGTAATTGGAGTGTTTGAGTGGAAATTTTACACACAGGCTTCTTAACATCACTTCAGCAGGCGATGAGTCACAATGTGGCTGAAGTAGACCAGACCACATACTAGAAAGTGAAGGGATGACGACTTTTCGGTCCGTCCTGGACTTTAGAATCGACTTGAGAATGGTCCAGGACGGACCGAAACGTTGTCATCCCTTCACTTTCTAGTGTGTGGTCTGGTCATCACTACAGCAATACCTAATGAGGAAAGCACATTTACACGAATGTGTAAATGATTTACATTTACACATACACGTGTGTGTGCAAATCATGAAAATTAACACTGAAAAATGTGACAGTATCAGACCACGAAGGAAGATTTGAAACAAATTTCCTAAAGTACTTTCGTATTTAATAATACATCGTCCCCATTCCAAAGATGTATTATTAAATACCAAAGTACTTGAGGAAATTCCTGTTTCAATTCTTCCTTCGTGGTCTGACTGTCATATATACACACATATATAGATTTTATTCCTTGTATATAAATTTTGGTTTAAAAAAAATTCTATGTATATTAACAAGTGAAAAACACCTGTAGTTAATATTTGATTGCAATGCATAATATTTATATTACTAACTGAATTCAGACATTTTCTCATTTTAAATGTTCATTTTGATGATAAAACTTTAGTGTCACTTTTTTTATTAGGTAAATTTTATTTAATAATTACAATATATAATTACATATTCAGTGCAATTTTCATGAAATATAAATTGGTAAAATACTCGAGTAGATCATGTGAATGTTGAGATAACCGTACCTTTTAGGGTGCTTTTGACGTGCTTCCACACTGCACCCAGTAGTTGCGTATAAGCTTTTTTGTAAGTGGTTGTGTTAGCATGTTTGCCTCGCTCACCTTATCTGTTTATTGGATTTATGTTCATCCCATAATTGGTACTAATTTGGTGGTTTGTTTTTCTCATTTCCTCCCCCATCATCCCGTGCTTATCTTCAATTTCCTTACACCACGTTTCTAATACTGACTTGCGTTGCATGCTGGAACTTGCAATTGCGGCTATTGCATGCAAAATATTTCTTTTTATTTAATGTAATGGATTTTTAAATATTGATATCTTTTGAGTTTTGTATTTTCTGCACAAATCTTCTGTAACCTGGTTCATCCTTTTTTAATTTTCTTGCACGATTCTATTTAACACTTTGTTTTGTGTAATATGTTCTCTTATTTGTTGACAAGCACAATGAAATTACCCTATTGCTTAAATGGTTATGGCTCCCACTTAACATAAATCGTTGCATTACACGTTAATAGCCCATAGAGTTTCTGTCTGATCTTTACCTACTTCCTCTTATTCCTTCTCCAAGTGGTTCTGAGGAGGAGCTTGATACTCTCTTCAACCAAAATAAAAATCTTGATCTGGACTTTTATCCAGAAATAGATAGCGAACCTCAGAAAGATATAGGGGATCCATCATTTGAGATAGTAGTGGAAGATATTTCTCAAAGCAAAATGAATGGCCACATTTCTGTAATGTTAGAAGACGGAAAGCCACCTGATGTGCCTGTTAGGTTTTCACTTCTAAAACAGATGCAGTCTTCACTATATTCGCCACCATTGCCTACACGCACATCTGTACCACCACCACCTCCACCCCCAAGAATGGCTCTTGAATCTTCCCTCTCCTTCTACCCAGCATTCCCAACAAAAAAGCTGTTCACAATTGATGAAGAACGCACCTACATATGATTTCTATGAATGTCAAACCAATTGGATTCTTATTGAATGGCCCATGAATACATATATATTTACCAAAAATATTCTCAAACCAGCTTTCTCATAATTCTGGACTAATAATTATAAAGAACATTGAAGCTAAACACCACCTCCAGTTTTTGCTCGATAGTTTGTGTAGCATTAGTTTTGCATGAATTTCTTTATTATTGTAATTCTCTTGGTTTTGCATGCTCCCCTTATTACAGTACTGTATTATTTCTTCCTACATAGATTAGAGTTAAAATTTAGTTTGAGAAACATATTACAGAGGGCTACAGTCTCTTTCAGAGTAGTTTATTTTATGAAATGTGAGTCTTGCAGAATTTTGCATTATTCATCTCCTCATGATTAAATAAATTATTGTACAAGAGTTGACTACATATTTGTAACTTGTCCCAATGTTCTTTTTCTCTTCCATGTACCGTGCTCTCGGAATGTGGCTCGTGTTGCATCGTCCTTTTCATCCGCCTGTCCTCTCCTTTACCTCTGTGAATACGTCATTTGTCAATTTTTAAATTGGTCTGCTGTATAAATGACTTATCTATATCTCAACTTCTCATCCTATTATTGGACTGATCCTTCATTGATATGATACCACTGAAACAGCCCACTGAGGCACTGTCTGATGACTTCCTTTTCCCCATGACCTCGCGCCTATCCTATGCTTCATCTCCCGAGTCTGACCTAGAGACTGGCCCCGAGTCCCGTACTCCTTCAAAATCTCCCCACCGGCCCCCTCCCTCCCACAATCCATACTCAGATTCTCGAGAGCATAGAGGTCGCTTGGTCAAAAGTTCATCAGATCCCAGTTTAGCAGCACCAGAGGAAACGGAACCTAATTCATATGGAGGACCACCACCATACACAGCCAGCCCAACAAGACTTGTAAGTACAGTACTGTATTTATTTTGTTACTGGTCATGCTGCCAATTTCCCTTTGCTAGAGCAAGAAGATCATTTACAATTCAAGCATTAAGCTTTAGCTTGCATTATTTTTATAATTTATATATTTTTTAATTAATAATTTTTTTCTTAGCAATGCAGAAGACTCTGGTGTAATGTTAAATTATCTACTTAATATTCACATGTGATATGGAGCCTGGAAATAAGAAAATGTAAACACTAATTCAGCTTAGATTCCTGTGATGACAAACACTAACATCTGGTGTGTACTTGCCCATTTGTATTGGTGTATAGGTTACAGGAAGGAATAGGTTAAGTATGTGTGCTTGTGTAAATAGGCAAAATAAAAAGGGAGCATTTGGGACCTATAATGAATCAAGGAAATAAGATAGTTTTAAAACCAATCCAAACTTCAGGAATAATTAATACAGGGAGTGGAGATGAAATTAAGCCATGTGCACTGAAATATTCATAGCTTTTCTGGGCCAAGTGTCCTGGTGTACCCGGGCCGAGTGCTCAAGCTGTGAGTCAAGGCTTTGGCTTGCTAGATGGGTTATGGGAGGAGGATGGGGGTGTTGTGGGTGTGGGTGGAGGTGGGCAGATGAAGGGCTGTGTCTTGGCACAAGGGATTTTGCCCTATCAAGCCTTTTTCTTCATGGTTTTGGGCTTAGGCTTGATTGTTTTGCTTTGGATTTTAAGAGGTTGGAGATTGTCTCTTGGTACAGCTCTAGGGAAAGAGTTGCTTTCCTTTTGGGGATCTGGTGCCTTAGGGTTCCTCTGACCTCTGTCTCTTGCCTTACTTATTCAGATGATTTCATGCCTTAGCGTTCCCGCAGCCCAGTCTTCGACTAGGTCTCCTTTTTGTTACACACCCCCAGGAAGCAACCCGTAGCAGTTTTAACTCTCAGGTACCTATTTACTGCTAGGTAATAGGGGCATCAGGGTGAAAAACTTTGCCCATTTGTCTCCGCCCCCACCGGGGATCAAACTTGGAACCTCAGGACTACGAATCTGAAGCGCTGTCCACCCAGCTGTCAGGCGCCCTGACGGTCAGTCAAGGGCCATTCCTCGAGATATGCCTATCTCACACAGCTTTCTCAGTCTACTCAGTTTTTATCAAGTTCCAATTGGGTATAGTTTGTGTTAGAAATTCCTAACTTTCCATTTCTTGGGGTTGTATTTGGCCTGGATCCTTAATGACAACACCTTCCTGTCTACTTGGGCATTAGGCATGGAATTCTGCTCTCCCTTGTGGTCTTTGTTTGGGACTTTGAGCTGGGGTGGCTTTGGGGGCCTGACAGCTGAGTGGACAGCACTTCAGATTCTTAGTTCTGAGGTTCTGGGTTCAATCCCCGGTGGAGGTGGAAACAGATAGGCAGTTTCTTTCACCCTGATGCGTCTGTTCACCTTGCAGTAAATAGGTACCTGGGAGTTAGACAGCTGCTATGGGCTGCTTCCTGGGGGTGTGTAACAAAAAGGAGACCTGATCGAGGACCGGGCCGCAGGAACGCTAAGCCCCGAAATCATCTCAAGATAACCGAGATGACCAGGGAATGGCTTCAACCTTTTGGGGAGGGGGGGGGGGGAAATCTGCCCCGGACACGGAATATTATTTATCCCTTGTCGTTGCTCGAGCTCGATTCATAGGCTGCTTTTTCCCTGGTTAGGTTTCTCTGAATCTGTAGGGTCCTTGGGTGCATATTGGAGTTAGCTTCATTACCCAACTTTCTGCCATTTTCAGCTCTATTGATCTTTTTAGTTCCTCCTATGGCATACCCTGGCTTCGTCATTTGACCCAGCATTTTTGAAGTGTGGTTGGCCTAGTCCTTTAAGTTTCATTTATGGGATGCCTGCTTCTGAGCTTGCAGATACAGATTCATTTTCTTCAGGTCTTGGCTGGGCTTTGCTGTGCTTTGTTTGCATCACTGCAGCCTTGCTTGTTTGTTCCAGTACTTCCCCGATTGTGAGTACCTGACTGTTTTACAGTTGCTTCCTGATCATCCCTCCCTCCCTCCCTCCCTTCCCCTACCAGGTGCATTAGTCAGTTCTTAGCCTTAGGAATTATTGTTGTCGATATGGTGAGTTGGCTGCTCCAGTGGTGGCTGGCAGCAACTAGAGGAGGTATGACTATTACTGTACTGGATGGATCATTTGTTGAATCATTTACTGCTTTGTTCAAATTTGTGAACCTTGCAGATGTTTGTTTTGCTTTGCTTCATTTCTGTGGGCATTTCTTTTGTGAGGGTGACCTAAAATCGCTTGCTTCCTGCGCCTGTGTGATTGGGCCAGGATTTAGCTTCTGGTAGGCTCTCGTAGAATAAGGTATTTCATTACATCTGGTTTTATGATGTAGATTATAAACTCGCAAGACATTCCAGCTGTAGTTATACATTTATTTTGCCAGATATTTTAGTCAGATTAGATTATTAGTCATCCAAGATTAATCTACACAAACTCTTTCATACCTACACACTTGCAGAGCACTTAATACCAGAATAATTTTATTTTGTTTGACAACTACTTGTGTAAATAAATAGTTTTAATAACTACTGGTTCCAATATGTCCTAGAGTCTTCTGTATGTGAAAATTTATATGAGCATGAAGTGTTTGTTTGGTCAATGTTGAATCACATTACACAAGTCACTAGTGAAATAAATGTTCTGTTGGTCAAGTATCTGTTATAACATTGCTTTGTCATAGGGGCATAAATTTTTTGTTCTCGTCTCTTTGCATTATTGGAGTCATCTATACCATTGCCAAAATATCTTTACTATTGGTCAAATACATGTGCCAGCAGGTGTTTGGATAAAATATTTTGAAAACTAAAATTTAGCAGTTTCTTTGTGGTGGATCATATTTAGTGAGCATTTAAAAAAGTCAGACATTTTATATTAATTGCAGCACGGTCTTGTGCGTAACTTGCAATATTCAGATTTAATCCTTAGGATGTATGCTTCAATGTGAACAGTCCTTGTATGCTCTTAAGCATTTGTTTATTCAGCCATTTGTTTCATGTGAATGAAATTTGTAATTGAAGCTGCAGTCGTTTCAAATTAAGGTTTAAAATAAAGGTTTTCTGGATTGACTTTCAATATTGATAATAAAATTACTGTTCACATGACCTTTTTAATATAAAGTTACACACTGGTGATCCTGCTAATTTTCAATACGTCAAAGTATACACATAATGTGTAGCACTGGCCAGGTATGCATACCACCAGATATATGCACCACTGGCAGGCATGTGTACCAATAGTCAAGTAACATCACTATTTGCAAAACCTTCGTATTATTGATAAAGTGTCTATTGTACCAACTTTTAAACTTTTCTGACAACACTTCACTGATGTCCAATTAGAAAAGAAAATCCCTTTTATCTAAAATTATCAAAGCATGAATCTAGTTATTCGAGTAGAAATTTTAAAATATTAAATTTATCCCTATTCTTATCCACACCTTGCTCCTTTGACACCTGTTGGCGAGTCTGAACCTTTATAACATGTTAGATCTAGATTGATACCTCAAGACTTTATGCTTTTTGTTATGTATGCGAAACTATGACTGTATGGCATGGTGAAGCTTCTTGCACAGCATTGTGTGGTCTGCATGTTGCACTGCCCCTTCGTTACAGCAACCTGGACCCAATGATGCCTACGATGACCGCAGAAAGTCTCATGGTGGTGACAGCAAGTATGGTTTTGCCAGTGGTGGCTCCTATGGCTCCGACCTGTACTCGTCCCGCCCGCCTGCTAGCATGCAAGGCAGCAGCACGGGTGGTGGGGGAGGAGGCATGGGCTCCATACATGGCTCACCATACTCGTCTGTACCCCCACCTGGGTACAGTGGCCGGCCTCCTCAGCAGACTTTACCCCCACCTATGCACTCGCCTCACCACCGCCGTTCCCCAAATGCCCCCTCTGGCCGAGGACACCCCCAGGCGGGATTCTCCCCACAAGGGCCAGGAGGAAATATGGCCCAACCACCCCCTTACCTCAATGGTCATACTAACGAGGCAGGGCCAGAAGTTCCCCCAAAAGTAGACCGTACCAGCAAACCTGGCAGGGTGAGGTCCGGTCAGGATTTTGGGTCTGGGAAGGAGTTGGAGTATGATGGCAACTACATGAACACAGGACGTGGCAACAGTGTAGACCCTCAGCACAAGGTTAGCACTTAGGCTATAGCATACCACTGCATGTATTCCAGCACTTTCTTCATGGTTAGCTTGATATGTTGCCTTCATTTGTTGTACTTGCATCACTTTTTAAGGTAAATTTCTAGATATAAATACTATCTTGTGCATGTTTATTCATCTAGGGTATATCACTTGTATATACATAATTGTCATATTGTATCACTTGCACTTTATTGCAATGTTTACATTAGATTTTCATAATTGCTGTTTTATATCAGACATCACATAATATTTACTTGGGTGTGATTATTGGTTGCGGTTGTAATTCATTCAGCATCTCATTTTCTATACTAATTTAGCTTAATTTTTTATCCTTGAAACATTACTACCAATGGTGCTCTCAGATGGTATGCCCTGTGTTTATTTCACTGCCTCATCATCGGTGGGATTCTTCTTCTTCGTACACGTATTTGATTACCATCTCCATCTATCTATGATGGCTCGTTTTCTTTGTGGACTACTCTAGAGAATGGGTAGCCTCTTTTAGAATATTTGCCAAATGCTTTAAAAATCTTTCATTGTTGAAAGCATTTAGTGGGATATGTTACACATTTCATAAAATTCGTAATGCTTGCTTGGTTAATGTATAAATGAAATGCTCACCACTTGCATGTACAGTACTACAAATCAGTGATGTGTGGAAAGAATGTTGAATGCCACAGGTAGGCAAGAAAGTAGAAAAGGAAGACACGAGAAGAAAGAGATAGGAGTAAGAAAATAGAACAAAAACTTAATGATTAGAAAAAATAGTATTAATTGCAGCAGAAGAGTGGAGAGCGAGGCACTGTTGTGCCTCCATGGTTCACTCAAGTCGACTAGTATGCTGACTATTCCTGGGAGGGACCCCCCCCCCCTCAGTAGTGCCTAATGCTACAGCCTGGCAATGACTAGGCCTTTGAAGAACACATCAGACCTCTAGACCCCTCGAATGCCTTTCAGGGACCAGAATCTGGTGCACTTTGTGGCTCAGAGATTATGATAAACCCCCCCCCCCCCTCATAAAATAAATGTGCTCCAAAATTCATAACCACTCTTAACAAGATTTGTAATCCTAACAAAATAATGCAATCAATCGTTACTATGCCAACACTACCATCTTAATACACTCTCCTACCACTAGATGGCAGCAGTTTCTATCTAGCCAGCTCACCCCTAGCCCCTCAGCTGTCGATGAAATATATAACTGATTATTTTGCAATGAGAGTATCATAGAAGATCCTGACTGCGATAAAAACTGTTCAAATATTGGTGAACACAATGCTATTTATGATTTCCAGTGTAGCATTGCACCCTGTTATTGTTTGGTACATCTAAGCATTTTGATAGAATAATGCATGTTCCTTTAGAAAATAAACTTGTGCTAAAGATTCTTATGCAGGATTTAGTGAACAGGATTCCAATAATAGTGCCATTGTGCCTACAGTTATCCTGAGGTTATCTTGAGATGATTTCGGGGCTTTTTAGTGTCCCCGCGGCCCGGTCCTTGACCAGGCCTCCACCCCCAGGAAGCAGCCCGTGACAGCTGACTAACACCCAGGTACCTATTTTACTGCTAGGTAACAGGGGCATAGGGTGAAAAACTCTGCCCAATGTTTCTCGCCGGCGCCTGGGATCGAACCCGGGACCACAGGGTCACAAGTCCAGCGTGCTGTCCGCTCGGCCGACCGGTTCCCACAAGCTCTCCATTTAGCAATAGTTGTATTACATTGGAGGCATTATGGTACCTTCTTGATACCTGCTTGATGGGGTTTTGGGAGTTCAACTGTGGTGAACGAGGTCACGTTGTCCGTTGATTAGCATGTTGATGCTATACTGTTTGGATTCACCAGACTAGCTTAGTGGTTCATGATCATACATATTGTTCAAAGAATAATATTTTACTCTTATTAGTTAACCAAATATATATCTGCACTAACATTCTACAAGTTTGGTGACAATATTATTGACAGCCCAATTAAACATTACACTTTAAAAAAAATGTTTGGTAAAAACATTCAAAATATGATTATTATATATTCAATGTGTGCTGTTAGAATTTAGTGCAAATTATGCATGGCTAGACTGAATGCTGGTAACCAGTTATAAGATTATTACAGTTGCCAGAATTGATTAGTAGCTTGTATTAGTGCATGAAAATGTACATAGTTTTATATAGTACATATGCAGTAATAAAACAGGGTTTTTGTAGTCAAGAAAATAATCAAGTCGCTAATATGCACACAATTTCTTTTAAGTACTGTACTGCATTTAGTAAATTACATTATTGAATAATACAGAAAAAAAATATCCAGACTTGATTGGGTAAAAACCAATTATTTCAATAGGAAAAAATCAAGTAAAATTATCGTGGCGGCAACTCCTGCCCCCATGGTGGGCTGGAGGAGACCGTGGCTAGTGACTGCTCTGTCAACACCTGTTATATTGCCACATTGCCTCAATTCCTTCCCCCCTGCCCCCCCCACACCATCCCTTCCAACGGTCAAGGAACACATTTTAGCAATATTAGAAGGAAAAACAAAAATGTTAATATTTTTGTTATTTTAAGCACACTTTGGAGTTGCATGGTATAAACAGGGGTGCAGCCCAAGGGCTTCAGGGCAGAGTCGGGGCACCCAACAGAAAGGGGCATTTCATTACTTTAAAGACAGTTCTGAGAGGACTTTCCAAGTCCTATCTCACAATGGAGTTCTCAAAAGAGGAAACTGAATATTCAGAAAAATAAATGGCAAAGAAAACTGAAAAAGATTGGGAGCAATCAAGAAAAACTGGCCAAAAGAAGAAAATAGCCCAGAAACTAATGTCCCAGCACCTCCCGCAAAGGGTGAAGCAAAACGACTATCCCAAAGGACGAAGGAACCTACACTGCAATGGAACCCAGCAGAACACCACCCGGTAGAAACCAGTTTAGACCATACAGCTGGGGCTACCCAGCCTAGCCCCAGCATAAGAGCCACACAAATTTGCAACCAAACAGGGATGGAGATTACCAGACAGAGGGGGTTGATTTTCTAGTATCTACTAAAAACACAAGAATAGAAAATATGATTAAAAATTATATCAGATAGAAGGTGCTGCTGGAGTTTCTGAATTATCAGCAATTCTGTTTATGAATTCAGATGCATTGGATAAAATTTGGCTAATAAAATAAATTTGATAATTAATATTCTATCAACACAGATACAGGATTGAGAGTCGGGTGTGTTCAAGGTGACGCAGTTTTTTTTTTTTTTGGCAGGGATATTCCTGCATGGGTCCTAAGCCTCTGGCTGGCCCACTATAAGTGTTGATTGTTTCTGGTTTACTTAGGCGGAGTATGAGTATTTATGACTCGGATGGTCGCTTCAGTAAGATTTTGTTGTGTTTAACAACTTCTGCTCTGTTGAATCCAAGTTGAAATCTTAATGGGTTTGTAACTCTGTACTGTGTTAGATAATGTTCCAGTGGTCTGTCGGACATTTCTCCACAATGCTGACATTTCCTAATCATCTTCCGGAACCTGTAAGTCTATTTCCCATGCACATGGGTATCCAAGCCTGATGCAATGTAAGTGTGCTTCTGTTGTTGTTCTGCTCCTTTTCATCAAAATACGTGGTTCGTAGTTGGTTCATTCTTGTACCAACCCGTAGATCTTGATATTACAAATACTGTGTTGTGGTCATTGTACATCTTTTACATTGCTCTGTTTCTAATTACTTTCTTAATCTGTGATAGACTGTGGTATGTAAATATCTACATTTCTTTTAGTTGCAAGTTTTGCAGCTTTATCTGCAATGCCATTTTTTATGAACAAATCCACAAGGGCCGTGATGAGGGTTCAAACTTATGCCCGGGATGATCCCAGACGCTGCCTTAGTCGACTAGGCCACAACATGGTTAAAAAAAGAATTGTAACCGGGAGTTCCACCGACCTCACACGGATCCTGCAGCCTCCCCGAGACACAAACCAGGGTTTTACATAATTCCCCCATGTACTCGGGCTCTGCTAACAAGCTGTTCTACCTCTTCACCCTCACTTCAATGCACACAAATCACAATAGTGTGATGCATCAAACTAAGATGCATCATGCTGAATAAGACAGTGTCTGGGATCATCCCGGGCATAAGTTCGAACCCTTATCACGGCCCTTGTGGATTTGTTCATTTGATGCATCATGCTATTGTGATTTCTGTGTCATTTCCTATTACAATATTCCCACATGACTTGGCACCCAGTTGATAAGTACCCGACAGCCTTGACACTTGAGTGTTTGCATTAATGATATGACATTTGTTATCAGATGGATGTTGTCACCTATGTGTTCTTGTTGCAAAGTTTCAATAGCAGATCTCGAATCTGTATGTAATATAATATGTCGGTGTTCAGCAAGAGCATGTTTCAAAGATCTCTAAGGTCAAACACCCATTTGAGAGTCTCCAACTATTTAGTGTGTGTTTCTTGCTTTAACTGCAGCTCTGGTTTCTTGTCCCTGCTGGTCTACTGATCCTTCTGTGAAGTATGTGAAGCTGTCAGATGCCAAATTTGTTTCTATATGCATCTGTGCAATATTACGTAGCAGATGAGGATTAGTCTGGTTCTTTTTTTCCTTCAAGAGCCATTATCTTAAAGTCTGCTGGCGGAGATTCCCAAGGGGCTTGCATAACAAAGTCTGCATGTATTTCGTCGACACCCCTCTCAGTGATTGTGTTTGTTATATCGAATGTATTGATGGTGTTTATCACATAATGGGTCCACCTGTTGCTATTGGGGGGCTCTTTTGTCCTGAGTAAGTGTTCCAGTGATTATATCTTAAGTGAACTGATTCTAGGACTAGTCATTATCTTTTTCAGCATGCACGCAGCAATCCCTTTTACCATTATTTCAATTGACGTTAGCTTTGTTTCTATTCTTAGATTCAGTATTTTAGTCTATCTGGAAGCCCCTGTTATGACTCGCAATGCATCATTTTGAATAACCTCACTGTTTGCCCACT